ATATATATCTCTTTCTCTCTCGACCCTTTCTCTCTCCACGCGTGAACATCACCCTCTCTTCCTCTCTGACCGTTACATCCCTCTCGCTGTTAACCCCCCTTCGTCACTTACCCTCTCGCTGCCTTCTCTCATGGCAACCTGGCTGCGCGCACATGCACATGCACACACGGATACGTGTCGCTCTAGGCAGGAGCGTGTCAAGAAATTTTTGACTTTGACACTCTTGAGGAAGAACGAACAGAAATCGTCTAATGCATAGAATTTCGCCGCAGCTTCATGAAGACTGTTTCAGAACTTAATCGGGGTAAGATTCAACGCAGATTATTATCATAAAACACCGTGGAATACCACGTAGAATTCGACATAAATTCTTTCTTCTCATTTGTTACAGATTATAATCGAACAATCGAATATCGAATAAAAATGACAGAACAATTATTAATACTTCAAATTCAGTCAAAATATTCAATATATAAAATACGATGAATAATTTTTATATGACAATCAGATAAAACTAAAAATCTGGTGAAAAGATTCATAATTAGATATTAGATATTCAGAAAAACAAGATGTAACATGAAATCCGGCGGATATTCGAAGAAAGAAGATAGATTTCAAAAATAAACAAACTTTATTTTGATTCTGTTGCATTTTTTTACGCATCATGATGTGTTCGAAGTGAAGTAGATTTGCACGCGCGCATAGATAAAAAATTAAAAAGATATTGTAATCGTGGACGAATGTATTCTGCAAAACGTTTTGTTTAGGAAAAATGCAAATTTCGCTTTGCAAGATACCAGGTGTAAAAAAAACGTTTCGTTAATAAAAAATCTTTAAAAAGCAACTCCGTGCGACTCTTGGGGATACGCCGATTTTCGTCCCACCCTCGTTACGCCCCTGATTTTCCACCCACTCATCCAGCGCGGCAGGGTCACCGTGTGCACCCACACCCTGTCATACACACGCATACACGCGCACACGCAGACTCGCGCGCACGTACGTACGCGCGATTTCTCCGTTGTCTCTTTCTCGCGCTTGCTCCGTCGCAACACATCCTCGCGTTCGTGGTTGTGCGCATTGTACATATCACGCGCACACGGACGCAACGCGGGACACGAGCTACGTGTGCACGCAGATATTGTACGTGCTGACGCATACGCACAACGTGACGGCGAGCGGCGCACTATGGCGGAGGCGGCGGCGGAGGCGGCGGCGGCGGCGGCGGTGGTGGTGGTGGTGGTGGTGGCAGTGGTGGTGGCGGCGGCGGCGGCGGCGGCAGCGACGGCGGCGGTGGTCGTGCATCCAGGCGGAGCGGAATATAGGCGGACGGACCGGTGTGTCAGCGGCCAGGGCGAAGGCAGCGGACACGACGGCTGCGATGACTACGCGATCGATAATTCGAATCGATAATTAATAATAAGAACCAGCGCCGGTGGCGGAGAGGACGGGAAAAAGGGAGCGCGAGATCGATCTCGTGCGACCACGAGAGTTGGACCGTCCGATATTTTCGTGGTCTTCCCCCTTTTTTCTCTCCTCTTTTTTTCGTTCGCTGACCGCGCGCGTACACACGAGGTTTATTTTGGTTACACGAGGCACACCGCGGCGCACTGTCGCATCCCGCGGAGAACGGAATCGCAAATCAACTCTGGAAAATAATAATTCAGTCCGTTTCTCCCCGTGAGGATCGATCGCGTTGCTCGCGATCCACGACGACGATGATGACGACGATGACGGCGACAAGGAGGATGGCGAATCGCGTCACATCGCGATGTGGCCGATCTGGCCCCACGATTAATACCGCAATCGTTAATTGTTTATCGGTGTCGACGAGATTACATCGCGAAGAATAATGAAAACGTAGGGAAAATATAGGTATACGTTATTAGAGATATATATACAAATATCCGATAAAATTGATTGATAATACTGAATTTGTCCGTTTTAGCCCTTCGCTCTTCGCTATTCTAAATCTGAATGTAAACTTAAGTTATTTTATATTCAATTCGAAATTTTTGCACAATCAGAGAATTCAAAACTCCTCAGTGAGTTTTCTATTAGAAAATAGTTAGAGAATTCTTCAGGCAATGATTATTGTTAATTATTATCTGCCATCTACAAACATCTCAAAATTAAAAAATGATCAGCTTAGGATTAATTATATAAAGAAAATTTAAGAAAATGTATTTGGAAGGAATAAATAAATCAAAAGATACTATTTTATTTTCGAACGAATTTTAATTGCGCATCACTGAAAATTATTCTCATATAAATTGATTCTCGAAAAATCGCTGATTTCCTGGTATTTCTGGTAGATGCTACACCCGAAATGCAGTAACATTGATGTAATTTTGAGAACGAGGCCTTGTAATGCGTTGATCCCGCCAAGTATTTTCAGTAATTGAAATTAAGAATGTATCATTCGAATCCAAATTCGTCGTCGAACTGTTTGCAATATTTATGACCTTCTTTACTGCGACTGTTGCTCCGCGATGTACTTCTCACACCTTTACACTCACAACTTTACACCATGATAATCGTTGGTAACTTTACACATGTAGTTGCGGACCGAGCCGAATTGCTCTGACTAAGAAATGCTCCGTTACACAGATTAGCATCGTCGGTAGATTATGGAAGCCAATATGAGACGTATAAACAGCAACGTTGACGACAACGACGAAGGCGAACGCGAAGGCGAAAATGAAGATGAAGACGAAGGGGAAGGTAAACGCACGAAGGCGATGACAAGGGCAAAAGCGAGAAGATGAAGGCGAGGATGAAGATAAAGATAAAGACGATAGGGATACTCAAGAATCTAAAAAAAGATTACCTATGTAAATATATGAGCACGAGAGCGCGATTTCCTCGGTCGCATCTTAAAGAATCTGCTATTGCGACATCCTCACGCAAATACAATCCCGCCGCTCGCGCGAGTCATTTGCATAATGTCCTCGGTCCATAGGTGGAAAGGACGTACGACCCGTTGTAAATTCGGCCTCGGTTCGTCGTTGGCTGCTACGCGTGGAGAGTGACCGTTA